TAATCTCAGAGCAAGAAATCCACTGAGAAAAGGACAGGATCAGAGTTGTTAGATTTTAGGGCAACATGGTTTTGATTCCTCCTAGCCAGCCAACTAGATGTGCCCGTCCATGCCTTAGATGGGATGGAGAGCTAGGTACCAAGTGATGGGGTTTAGGTGCAGATGTATACTGCATCAGCTTAGTGTTTTGATTTGAATTTTTATTTTCTTAAGTTGGACTTAGAGATATTTTATTGGTTAGTTTGAGTAGATAATTGTTTCGAGGCGTGAAATGTAAAATATGCGGCCAATGAAATGATATCTAGTCTTAGTAACTAAAACATAAATAAATCTAGACCGAAGTAGCGAGTGATTAGAGCGGAGCATATAGACATTAGTCTCAATCTAAATCCCCTATTTTGCTCATTACCAAGGGCTGAAGCTAAACTTATTTAACATTTTGCATTTTAACGTTTTAACGTATTGTCTTATTAACGCAAACGTCTTGGTATCGTGTTGTCAGCCTAGAGGAGACTGACGTTTACAGGGGGCCCAATGTTGTTGCATTGCTGGTTCGGCCTGAGTCTCAGAAAAATCATCATCCACTGTCGCCTGGGCCGTGTCCTGGGGCATAGACATGTCAATATCCGCCAGTGACAATTCATGGAGTTGGCGGAGTTGCTCTTGAATGAGACGATTTTTTTCCTTGGCCTCCTGCTCATGCATCAACGTATTAAAGTGTCCATGTCTGAGCCTACTCAAGGTTTGGATTGAGTATTGGGCCTCCAAAAGCAAACGGGTCAGCTTCAAATAGATTCCCACCTTCTCGTCGTCTTTGAGTGCAGGTTTCTTGGCACGTGCTGTATTCACCTTATCGCATAGCTCGGTTGATTGACTAATTGTTTCAATGAACCATCTCAGCAGCCGGTCACAGACTTGCTTACCCACCGTAGGCAACGGTCTAGTCTCGGGTCCCGTCATTGTTGTAAAAAAAATGTAAACTAAGTCGCTTCTTAGTTGATTTAACCTTTAAAGAACGTAGTATAATGAATACATAGTTTGGTCACTTAAAAATGTAGTCAAAACCAAGTAGCACTAAATAAAGAGTGTTAAGTCTGAAATAAGTAAACTCAGTCAGAAGTGCCGTTATGATCGGCGCGTCTGCTGTATTTATTATCACGTTCCTATATGAAGCGAGATTTCCTCTAACAACGGGTAATAATGAAAATACCCGAATCTATAGTTTTCGTCTCCTGGTTACTAAATCATGATGACACTGTATGAGTCATCTCTATGGTTGTCGTCTTCTAGCTATTAAATTATGATGACACAGTTTGCGTCATCATTATCTTATATTAAATCCTCGGTCCCAATATTCAGTCCGGTCTCTCAGCCCGGTCCTGGAATATTCTACTCAGGTCCGGTCCTCTGGTCCGGTCCTGAAATTCTACTTGTAGGTCGGGCCCTCTGGTCCGGTCCTAAATGTTCGTCCTAAGTACTTTGTTCACATTGTGTCCGGATCAAACTCAGCCGCTCTATCTACCTCCTCAAAAGTTTCATCAATACCTCCCTCGTCATCTTCGTCATCGTTTATATCGAAAGTACTTAATTGACCCTCACTATACTTGTCCACTATGCTGAGAGACAGAGCAAGCGCTGGTGTCATTGCTTCAGCTATATTAACTAACTACATACACTGAAATAAAAGTATATATTCCCAGTATTACTAGTATCACTATATACACACGTTCATGTATAAATATACGCGTGTTGTATTTGTGTTTGTAATTCTCATAAAATGAACACTGAAAATATACTATGCCAGTCGGTACAATAACAATGTGAAGTTTTGATGATGTCAGAACGAATCTAGGATTTGACCATTCAGTAACAAGCTTGAATGCACACATAATAATAGATATCCACTTGAAATTCAGCTTGGTGGCAGTCTCCCTTGTTAAAGGCCACTGTATGATAAGCTTGGTGTATCCTGGCATATTTAAGATATCAAAAATCACCGTACATACAAAAGGTTGAAAGTAAACGCAACTCAAAAGTCCCGGCTTTCAACAGCAACTTCGAGGCCAAGGCCGGCCAAGGCCCGACTTTGAGTTGCGTTCAACCTTCAACTTCTGAATCGATCCTATTGGCTAACGTGTTTTGAAACTTGAATATTTCGAAACTTGAACGCAAAACTTGAACCGTGATTTTGTTTTTAGACTGGCCCTAAGACTGGCCCTAATCGGATAATGAAGCGTTCACGCTCGTAGTATGGCTAGTGGGCTAGGTAATACTAACCGTTTATTACTTGTTAATATAACGACTGTCTCAGGTCCCTCTAACGTAGGGCTAGTGAGTAGACGAGACAGACACTTAACTAATTCGAGCCTCCTAACAGCGCACACAAAGAAAGCCGATGCAGATATCACCTCCCCCGCCGAATTCCGCCCCATCACCCTTACGCAAATAGTCAGACGCATCTTTGACAAGTGCTTTCTTAATCTGATTACGAGCCACCCCGGCTCTGCTACCCATGCTACTCAAGCTGGCTTCAAATCACGGTACTCCTGTCATACCCAAGCACTTGCCGCCATGGAATCTGAGACACAGTCAGAAGAGGAGTGGATCGACGTCTGTCTGGACATAACCAAGGCATACAACAAGGTCGCTCTCCCACGCCTATGGGTACTTCTGCGTCACGCTGGAATGCCCGAAAACTGGATCAACTGCCTCCGCGCGCTGTTTGAGAGGGTCCCTACCCGAGTGACATACCGCTACACGCTCTCGTCTCTATTCCTTAGAACGAATGGTATCCTACAAGGCTCAATCGTCGGCCCCCAGCTCTTTATTATCTACATGGATTCCTTAGTTGTCACGCTAGCACAATTTCAGCCCAAGCTCCTCCGTTCTTATTTATTTGTCGATGACACACGGATCCAAGCCCCTCGATCGGTTTCGCTCCAGCCCTTCTTAGATGGCATTGATGCGTGGGGACGCAAATCTGGCCTCGAACAGGGTGTCATTAAACCCCGAGTATGATCTACCGACTTGCGACACGCGGCGCCAACCCTCCGTATAAATGGTGAGCTTATCACGCCGACGCTTGCAGACGCACCTTGGAACACACGTTACCTCCCCCTGAAACTGGCGCCCACACATGCCGAACCGAGGTTCCCACTCTCTCACGGAGCACCAGGAATCAACCTCGCTAGACATATGGAATCACTGGTTGCAGCATTGTCACTGGGTATCGCCTCTTTCCGCGCGTATGGCTTCCATGGCTTCAGCTGGCGACACCCCCGCAACCGACTGGTGATGTTCAAAACATTCATTCTATCCACGGCTACATATGGGCTGAACATTATTGCCTGGGCTCCGCCTATATGGAAGGATGCGTTGAACCCCCTATTCGAGCGCTTTAACTCAGCACTCATTCAAGCAGCAGCCATCATCTCGGTTTCCCAAACATCAAACAAACTTACTTCACTTTTGCGGCCTGCTCCCCGCGCGACCATTCGCGGACTACCTCGGAGGTTGCCTGGGAGTACAACTCGACCCAATGGCAAGCACAAATCCACTTACCCCTCTGACGCAACCCGCCTGGGACCACGATAAACCATCACTGCGCTTCCCGTACAGTATCTATGCTCACCTGAAAACTGTACACAAAACCACGGGCGGGCGTACACCCGACCATGTAGCCCTCCGCCAACGCTGTGACGACATCAGGAAGAACTCAACAAAACGTTGGTCCAACAAAGAGATCGCGGCAATGGCCCGGCGCCAATACTACTACCAACTGGTTATGGGTAAACCGCCCACCTCAAGCCGAGACACAGCCAGACACGACAGCTTCAATCGCTGCTTCGAGTCTACACCAATCCGGCTCTGTGCTATGATTGTAACGAATACGTACATGTTCA